CTGTCTCAGGTTGGCCATGAGAACTACACATAATACTGTTGGTTTACAGGGTGGGGTGGGGTCATTCCAGTAAGGTATTCTTGCTTCAATGTTTAAAACATCATTTCCTATTTCATTATCTCTTTTCCTTTATATACTAAAATATCATTAGACAGGGCTAGGACTTGAAGCTACGTCTTCAAAATGAAAGCCAATTTGCTTTCCATATGATTACCATCATCATCAGCTAACTGGAACTGAGGGGTACCTGTGAGGGATTATTTTAGCAGTGTATTTTTAATACCAGTGTCACAATACACTAGCCCTTGTGCTTTAAGGAAGCAGGAACTGAACAACTATTTATATCTGCAAATCTGTTATAAAAGTGTTAGAAAAAAGACTGACAAGCTATCAGCAATAGGGATTCAGTCTCCCAATTCCTCACTAAATATTCACCTTTCTACTTCCCTAAACATACACTTAAAAAGAAAGTTAAATTCTTGATTATAAATTCATATTAATTCTACACATTGCCTTGGATCAATAGAAAATCACAATAAAAGCTCATATCCAATAGTTAATTTTCAAGTTCTGTATCATTTATTAAATAATGTATATGAAGACTGGGTTTGAGCTCTGATTATCTCAGGAAATTTTACTGTTTCTGGATCCTAGTAACTGAGCATAATGTTCTTATATTTATAATTTATGGGGGGCTCTTTGGGTCAGTTTTCTGATTTCCTTTTCCTTGTGGCTTGTCAAAAATATGTGCCTGTCCCCAGGTGTCATTACTTTCCATCTTGACAATCTGCTGCTTGTCAAGGCTACACAATAGTCTTTTGTATCCACGTCCATGAGCCCTGGGAACTGCTGAGTGGATCAGGCAACTTGTGAAATATCTGATTGAACTTAGACTGTCATACCATCTCCATGAATCAAGCCACTGTAAATCACAGCCTTGCTCTGCCAGTGGTCTCTCAACTTTCAATATATTTTGATTTAAGAGATGTTGGTCTGTGATCATCTCATATTTCATGAGATGATATTTGTGGGTATAGGGAAAAAGCTAAACAAAATAATCAAGGGAGAAAGCTATGAGTAGACAAGAGAGAGATATGAATAACAACTGATATATAGCACTGGTACTATTTATAAAGACAGGTAAATGCCATAATTGGCATGGACTGCCTATGCCAGGGGTTCTTGGTAGAAGTAGTCATAAAATTGTTTGCAAAAGTGCTACAAAAAATTCTGTAAACAAACTATTTCCTTGGTCTTCTCTCTACATAACAGCTATTCTCTGTGTAGTTTCTCTTTCAAATATAGAAGAAAAGCAGATCTGAATTACTTCTTTCTCTACAGAGTGATACCAGATTATATATATATATATTTTTTTTTTCTTTTCTTTTCTTCACAGTACTGGAGATTGAATTCAGGACCTTGTGTTTGCCAGGCAGGTGTGGTGCCATGGGGCTACATCCCTGGCCCTGCCAGATAATATTTTAAAATATTTTTGTTATCAAGGAATATACCATATTGCATAATATTAAAGATGATAAAATCAGTAAATATTGAATAGGCTGTCAAAGTCATTTAGTCTATTACCTATGCTGGGACATTTTGATTGGGATCATTTCATCTTTTAAAAACAACTCCGGGGTGAATACTTTGGAGATTTATTATTTAGCGCATATTTGATTATTTTTAGTATAATTTCTTATAAGTATAATTACTAGAGCAGAAGGTATAAATATCTTTAGGATGTTTAATGCACACAGATAAATTGCTTTGTAGACGGGCTTTTAATTTATCCAATTCTATTCCATCAGAAGCACTTAGGAATACTTGTTAGGATAAAAATTTTAAAAAGAAATATACCAGCACATAGATATGAAGGTATCTAGGTATGAGTTTCTCCTTGCAGTAATCACCTTGGCATTCTCCCTTTGTTTCATTGCAGTGGTTTTTGTGTGTGTCCTGATGTCATAGATCCGCATGATCCTGAGCACCCAGTGATTACCCTGGTCATCATCGACTCTATGCACTGACTTGGCTTCTGAGAAACTATTGGCAGTTTTAACAAATTGCCACCTTTGAAGACATACAAAAATAAGAACCATTGGCTCTGAGGCTGCGTCTTGTCAAGTAGTAAAGGCTGTTCTGTACCAATGGGAAACGGTAGCAATTTTTGCTACTCGCGTTTCCTTATCCAGAGATCCCGACCTCATGAATGCTATCCCCTTAATTTCCATTATTTATTATGTATTTTTCTCTTTATTTATACTTTGTGTTTCTTATATATGAGGAACTATGCAATATCTAAGCTGGTATGTCTGATTTATTTTATTTAACATATGGTCTCAAGGTGTATCCATTTTTTTTTTTATAAGTGACTCAGGTTTATCTTTATGGAAGAGTAATACTCCATTGTGTGTAAACATCACATTTTCTTTATCCATTCATCTGTTGATGGACATATAGGCTGCTTCCAAGATTTAGATATTATGAACTGTGTTGCTTAAATGTGGGTATACCTGCATCAGTGTAATATGTTTTGGACTCTTCTGGGAAGAGACTTAAAAGGGGAATAGCTGGATCAAATGGAATTTCTAGTTTCGGTTTTTTGAGGAATCCCTGTACTGATTTTCAAATTGGTTGTACTAGTTCACCTTCCCACTAACAGTGCAGAAAGGTTCCTTTTTCCCTGTAGCCTCTTCAGCACTTGTTATTATTTGAAAAGGGAGAAGAAGAGGGAGAGAGAGAGAGAGTGACAGGGAGACAGGGAGAGAGGGAAGTGGGGAGAAAGCAAATGAGAAAAAGGTTAATAATTGCAAAAACTGTGTGAAGGATACATTGTGCTATTTTTGCACTTTTCCATGTTTGAAAATTTTGAAAATAAAAAGCTGGCAAAAACAGATAAATACATCACCAAAATTCCTTGAAGAATAAGCAAGGAATGAGTAAAAAATGATCAAATGCCTGAAATTAAGGCGGATGTAGCTCAGAAGGGATATAACTTTCCTGTGGTTATGGGGTGGGGGGGTCTCCTTCAGAATTCCTTCTTCAGAGGTGGGACTTCTAAACCTGAACTATGTCTTCCAGATGGCAGTTTCCTAAACACATTTTAAGACAGAATTGATCACCCTAATCTTGCCAGCTTGGGAAAAGTTAGTTAGATATTTTGAAAGACAAACTGGTCATAGAACTTGAGATCAGTTGAGTTCTGCTTCCCATGTGCAGGCATCAGCAAATGCTGGAGGGACATAGCGAGGAGTGGAAGGCAAAGACTGAATCAATCAAAGCATTTAAGGCATGGACTGGCAGACAGTTAGTAATATTGAACTTTGATCTGACCAACAAGTGTGTAATACTTGCTTGGCTGAGATGTCATTTTGCGGGGTGTGTATTTAATGTTTTTGAAATGTTACAGAAAGAAATCCCATATCTTTGCATTCATGTAAATGGCAGAGAAAAAGCTTATGAACTTAAAAAAATTTTAACAGCTGGGAGTTCCTGGACAACAGTCAGAGGAGGTGACAGCAGCAGCGGTCAGATGGGATGCTGAGCCATGTACCCGAGACTCCCATATTCAGCTGGACTCCAGTACTCATAAAAAGAAATAGTTTTCCAGTAGTTACAAGAACAGAGCTGAGATGCCGTTAGAGACAAAGAGGATATTCTTGAAGTTTGCTTTCTTTAATCATAACTATATTAATAATTAACCTGAGGAAGGTGTTGGCAATAAAGATGGAGGACAGAAGGGAAAGGGCTATTTGATAAAAGTAAAAATTAAGCAAACGTCCCCAGGGAAACTAAGGTCATGACTACTTTGTTTCAATTATATGTTATTTGTAAATATATGTATATATTTATTTTATTAGATATTTACATATCATACATAGGACTTGTAAATATATACTCATATATTTATATTTTACATTGTGACAACATAAATTTAATAAACATTAAGACTTAGCTATTAATTGATTCCTTTGCAATCTCATTGTATAAAGAAAAACTCAGCACCCAATATTTTGCTCTTTTTTTCCCATGTTATTACAATGTACTATGCAGTTCTACTATTATGTTTTCCTGTTTATTCTGTTCTATACCTGGCTTCCTCCTATTCTCCTTGTATTAGACAGCTTTCCCATTGTTGGACACAATACCCAACACTTAAGGAAGGGTTTAATTTGATGCACACTTTAAGGGGATTCACTCCGTGATCAGTTGGTTCCAAGGGAGGAACAGCATGGTTGAAGGACATGGCGGAACAAAGCTGCTCAGTTCATGGAGGCAGGGAAGAAGAGCAGGGGAGGAGAGGAAGGGTGGAGAGATTAGACATAGACCCCAAAACCATGCCTCTATGATCCACCCAGACACACGTAGATATGTGCTCAATTACTTCCTTGGTTGATCCCAAACTAATCAAGTTGATACCCCACCCTAGTCACCATGTTCCCTACTCTCAAAATCCCTGGTTGGCATCAGTTGGGGTCTTGCGAGATGGCTATTGGTTCACTACTTCATAAATACGTAAATTGGCATTGTGTTATTTAAGGGGCAGGGAAAATACAATATAAAAGATTCAGAGGAAAGAATAGAGATTTTAATTAGATGATGATATCAGCTATAATTCATCTCTGTAAGGACTGAGAAAGTGTAGTGTATTGAGTTATGTAATTTTAAATTTGCATTTACATCTTCTGCTCATATTTGTATGTGACATGTTGATAAACACCCCCTAGCCCCACCTCTGCCTGGGGATTGAACTCAGGACCTTGTGCTTGCCGGGCAGGCACGGTGCCACTGAGCTATATCCCTGGCCCGATATGTGAATAATTTTTATTGAATGCACATCAATGTAAACATATACTAGAGGCAAACTTGGGTGTACTTGGTATCCTTTAGTCAACTTTGAAAAAACAAAGCAGGTGAAAGAGGCAGCAGTGGTTATTTGATGTTATTTAACTAAACAAGACAAACTTAAACAAGAGTCAAGTCAAAACTGCTGAGAGCATTTATTGCCGTTAGTTGAGATTAATGAAGTGTAGAATGTCTTTGCTTAAGATGAACCAAGGGTAGTATCACCTTGTTCCATAGATGGCAGGCGGTCACAGTTGGGGTGGTGGCCACCCTTGCCTCTTTGTCTGGGACATATACGTGATAAGTACTACTCCACAGTGACTAGCTTTGCTGCAGATTTTGAAGCCGCTTCAGTTTTGTTTTTTGCCTTCGAGCATTTCTGAGTTTTTTAGTTTTCAGGAAACTGTCTTCTAATTGGTATAGAAAATTTTCAATTTGACCAACCTAGAAGAAATGAACAAACATAACAAGGTTTGTTGTTGGTTTCCTGGGTTTTGTGTACTGAGAAAAATGGTAGAGCGCTTAAAATTAAATGACACACATGTCCATGTTAGAACAGAACTGGCAGAGACAGGCAGGATTAAACATAAAAGCCTGCTTCTGTTTCCATTTCAGCTTCCTTGTTTTGCGAACATGGAACAGGCATATAGGAGTTGGCTTTATCATTTAGTTCTACATACTGGGAATGAAAATGGGATTATAATTAGCACTTTGTGCTTGCAAGGAACAGGCTGTTTTCAATAGTGAAACCAAAGTTTTCATAAAGAAGTGGATAGTGAAAAATTAATCCATGGCAAATGCTTTTCTACCCCTTTTATCAAAAAAGAGAGAAAATGACAAGTCCACCATCTTAAAAGCCAGTAGTTCTAACTGGTATACACCCCTGGCCACATTGTCTTGGCAAGAACCATTTCTCTTTTAAATCAAAAAGAAAATTAGAAAAAATGTATTTCGTTAAAAATGTCATACTCTAAGGAATAGGACAAAAAATATACAAAACAAATTTTTGAAAAAAAGAATCAATCTTTCTCTAAAGAAAGCTTACAATTATTTAGTGATGGTTGAATATGTTTATAAAATTTGTCTGAAAGAACTATAGTGGGAAGGTTTACATATATGCTGAATTGGGCTCTTAGGAAAGTCAGTAGATGTAACAGTTCGTACTTAACCTTGATTCCCAAGACCTGCATATTCTATTAGTCTAACATCACTTACTAAAGTGCCTATTCTCAAAGTTAGCTGAAAGGTAGAGCATATACTAGTCAAGGTATCATCTACTTAAGATAAAAGCACTCAGAACTTCAATCTTCCAATTTTGTGTTCCACTTTTAAACTGTTTGAATTATCATTCAGAATAGTATTCAAAAGACAATTCAGACTGTCAAAAAGAGAATAATAAAACAAGCACTCAGTCATATAATTAGGTCTTACTTCATACCAGGTGATATAAACTGTCCATTGGGTTCCTTAAGAAAATAAGATAGCTTATTTATTTCAAAATAATTCTTTTGGAAAGCCTTTTAAAAATTACATCAGGTAAATTTCTCTGAAAGCACTTTGCCACTTAGGATATTTTGTCATTGTAGGCATCATCAAAATAATTTGACAGAGTATTTTGAGATCCTATCATGAAGTCAATACATTATTCTATGTATTCCATGCACTTATACTATCTGGTTTCCACCAAGCTAAGTAAAAAGAAAAATAACATAGAGCACAATCAAGATGAACATAATGAGTGATACTTTACTAGTGCTTTAATAATTGAGTCAATGATTCACACATGTAATTTGCACAGAAAATATATCATTTAAACCAAAGCTTTTTATAATGTAAATGTTAGCAATTGGCCTGGATACAAGTTGGAATTACAACCCTAATGCAGCAACAAAAACTTTCTTCGATGAGACAGAAAAATAATTATTTGAAAATATCCTTTAAGTGGTAGCTATTTTCTGAGGTCACTGTTTTTGATAAAAGTGGTGTTGATTAACTGAGTTGCCTTTTATTAGAAAAGACAAAGAAAAAACACTAAATGAGATATCACAATAAAGAGTACTATTGAATTAATCCAGAAGGTCTAGAGTTGACAGTATGTGCTTGTTGTACCTGGCCTATCTGTTCATCTACTGTCCGGTTTGTCTACCCGCTGTCTTTCCAATCTGTCTTCTAATGACATGAGAGTGTTCACTTTAAGATGTAAATCTGAGCACATGTTTTGCTTACTTAAAAGCACCTTGTCCATATATTCATTTTTCTCAGTGCATATTTGTAGTACATGCTGAATGCATTGGTTGTGGGTAGTTGTTACAGGTACATGACACATCTTAATTCTTTTTTATACTCCCTCAATGTCTTGATCCCCTTCCTATTGGAGAAAGATCTATGTTCCTGTTTTCTATTATTTACTCTTTATTTTGCTGTTTAATTTATTGATATTTTGAGTTTCTCTATAAATCATATGATATTTAAGCTGGTGTTCCTGACTTACCTTACTGAACATTATAGACTCAAGCTTTATTCATTTTCCTACAAATGACTTGTTTACCCTTCTTTATAGCAGAGTAGTACTCTATTGCATATATATATATATATATATATATATACACACATATATATGTGTATATATATATAA